CCGTAAGTCTGACCAAGAAATAGCAAATCCGAATATCATGGTGGGATCCCCATCTTCCCAAAGCATCCTTGACCTTGGAGAGCAAAGAGTAGAGATGAAGAAGAGTTCTCTAAACACCTTGTACACTCTCATTTATTCAATAGGAATTTATTGGGTGCCTATACGGTGTTAGTGCTGAGATTACAAAGAATAAAAATCATCAATTCTCAATTATTGTTGTATGTTTTATCTTTTTTTGTAACATCGTAAGACATTATTCAGGCATTTTTTAGATGTACCCATGCATTTACCACTTTTTTGGTTATCATTTTTTCTTGTGTTTTGTAAATTCAGTAGCATGCTGAATAATGATGGGAGAACTGCAAGAGGTAGATCTGACTTAGCCTGAGGATCAGCGAAGGCCTCCTGGAGAAAGTGACATTAGCTGAAACCTGATGGGTGGGTCGGCAAAAGGGGCAAAGTAAGAGTGTCTAAGTGAAGAGAAGGCTTAGGAGCAAGAGGGAGCTTGCCAGTGTAGGCAGTGCTGGTAGTGTGGCATAACTGGGGAAGAGATAAGAAAGGCTGGCTAGGCTGGTAGACATGGCCCAGATTATTGAAGACATTGTCAACTGTGGCCACCTGCTTGGTTTATTTTTAAATGGGCAGAAATTGAAGTGAACTAGTTACACTCAACAGTAGGCCATGATACCTCAGTCAATAAGATGGGAACACTGATTCAGTAGTGATGCCTAAACATGGTGACTGGATACTATTGAATTCTGTTGTCACTCGAGCCATCTTTACCAAAGAGAATAGAAAGAAATATTAGAAAATTCTGCCCTGGATCTTTGCAGAGAAACTCAAGAGGAAGAGAAAATGAGACTTAGTTATTAGGGAGGTTGGGTTTTTAGGAATTGACCCTTTAGGGAAGCAGTTGGGAGTACCTTTCTCTTACCATGTTTTTTCCTGGTTTTGCAGTATATCATTATTTTGTTGATATTATAACTTGGAACAAGAACATAAGAAGAGGGTCCATTACAATCAAATTGAGAGACAAAGCTGGAAACACCACAGAATCCAAAATCGATCAGTAAGTTGGGGTGGGATACTTTGCAGTTTGCAATTTGCCTTTTTGCTCAGAGAAATTAAATTCCAAATATACCTGTTTTCTTATTTATATACTTGTACTTTTCTTTCTTCTACAAAAGATATAAGGGGACATATTGTTTAATTGCTTCCTGTGGCTCTTGATCTCTCAGGTTCTTTACAAATGGAATTGGTGCAAGGATTTCCCTTTCTTCCTTCCTTTCCCCTCCCTCATTCCCTCTCTTAGTTTCCTCCTTCTTGCTTCCTTCGCTTAAACATTTAGTTACAAAAGTCATCTTTGTTTGCTATAAAAGATTTAAACAGTAAATGAGTGTGTAAAATAAAAGTGCAAGTCCTTGGCCCATCCCAATAACCCTATCCCCACAGGCACTTACCCTCAAACACGTTTCTGTTCTTTTTTGAGCTCATGATATACATACAAATATGTTTTTGAAACTCAGAGAATGTAATTTGCAATAGAAAATTGGAAACACCCTAAAAATCCCACGATGAGGAAATAGTTCAGTTAGATATTCCCATATAACAGAATACTCATTATACATAGTAAATGAAATGCCTTATAAATGTGCTGAGTGTAAAGCTTCAGGATGTCAAATTATATAAAGTATAAAACTCAACAATGTATTATTTATACATAAAGTTTTAGTTCAACAATGTAAAAAAAGAAACAGAAACATGCCAAAATATTAGATTGCCTTTTAGGTGGTGAAAATATGAGTGCTTTTTTCAGCTTATCTTTACTTTTCAATTTTTAATTTTGTATTTTATATATATATATGTATATTTATATATATTTATAGTTTAAAAACAGTTAATTTTTCATCTATTACTTTTACAATTGGGAAAAACTCTTTAAGCAAAGGAATTTGAAGCTCATTTTATTCGTTTACTCAGGAAATGTTTCCTGGGTTCTTTTGTCTACCAGGCATTTGGGTTGTGTCTTGGCCTTACCCATAGAGGACCGAGTAGAATGCGATCTGAAACTGGCAGTCCCCTTACGGGTTCACTGTACAGATAAATAGAAACAGTGTGGGTGGGTGGTTTAGAGATAACTTTTTAAAAATGCCCCCTTAGATCACAATAATAGTAATAGCCTTTGTTTATTGAAGCACTTTACGCCCATGGGCTAATGCAATTCTCACTAAAACCCTGTAAGATCGTATTGCCGTCTCTAATTCATATATGAGGAAACTTAGGCTCCGAGATGTCAAGTGATTTGGCCAATATCACACAGCTGATCAGGATGAATCAGGTGAAATCAGGGGCAGGTCCGTCCAACCCCAAGCCCACAGTTTTAATCACTACATTGTATTCTTCCTACTAATCTGTATTGCTCATTCCACTCTAGCATACTTGAGGTTTATGAGCAGTGTTTGTTTGTTTGTTTTTTAGGGTTCTTTATTGATCTGTTTCAGAGACCTCACTACAGTGTCAATGTCCCCAAACCCACAGTGGGGCAGCATTTTCAGGGAGGGCACTGCAAGGGGGTACCTCTTGAGGAACCAGCCTCAGGTAGTTTCTGAGCTGTGACCTTCAGTGAGGAAGCGAGGCAGAGACCTCATCTGGAGATTCTAAGAAATAGCAGGCGAGGTTGTGCAGTTACATAATGTGCAGTGTTCACCCAAGAAAATTTGCGTATTCGTGCCAATAATTGGCCACATATTTGCTTTACGTGTTTTAGAAGTTTTAATTTTACATAGTAAATTTCTCCCAAGAAAGAACTCCTAAATTGGGAGGTTTTTATATCAATTAAGATTGAGATCTTAATCTTTATTTTAGTCATGGTTAGTCATTCTCATTTTAGTCATGTTTGTGAAAAAGTCATCACCAATCAGAGGCTATATAAGGAAAAAAAGAAACAGTTTTTCTATTACATGGGAGATTATGAGTACTTTTTTTTGCAAGGTAAACTTTAACATCTTAGTATTAGTTTTACAATTTAAGATAAAGGAAATGATATTAGAGTATGTACCTTGAGTTCATCCAGTCTTACCAGACTATGGGTAAAAATGGAGTCACATTTAAGGTTATTATCTGCCTGATGACTCTCACTGTATCCATGTTTTATATGTATTTCTTTTTTTTTAACCTTTTAAAAAAATTTGATATAACTCACGTACTACAAAATTCATCCTTTAAAAGTTTACAGTTCAGTGACTTTTATTATGTTAAAAAAATGTGCAACCATTACCATCATCTAATTCTAGAATATTTTCATTATCTCAAAAAGAAACCTCATTCCTATCAGTAGTAATTCCCAATCCTCCCTCCTCCCTAGCTTATGCCTCTCTGGAGGCACAAAGTAGATTAGTGCCAGATTTACCTATTCTGGACATGTCATATAAATGGAATCACACAATATATGGTCTTTAGGGTTCGGCTTTTTTTGTTTAGTATAATATTTTCAAGATTGTCGTAGCATGTATTAGTACTTCATTCGTTTTAATGGTTGAATAATATTCATTGTATGCATATTGCTGGATCATATGGTAGTTCTATTTTTAGTTTTTTGAGGAGCCTCCACACTGTTTGCTATGGCAGTCATAGCACTTTACATTCCCATCAACAGAGCACAAGGGTTCCAATTTTTCATATTCTTGTCAACACTTGTTATTTTCTTTGTTTGATTTTTTAGTAGCTAACCTAATGGTTGTGAAGTGATTCTAAATTCTTTACAACATCTCCATCATTCTTCGAGCACTTTTAGGTACATGTGTTCGTCCAAGATCAGTTTGAACTTTCCTTGCTTTAGCCCTGAAATCAACCATTTCTCCAGGGAGCCCTAGTTTTTTTTTTAATGGAAATGGAGTTTAAAAACCAAAATCTAAACCCTCTACTGGGTGTTTACCCCAAAGGCTTGAAAACTAGTATCTATAAAGATATTTGCACACCAACGTTCATAGCAGCATTATTCACAGTGGCCAGGACATGGAAGCAACCGAAGTGCCCTACAATAGATGATTGGGTAAAGAAGCTGTGGTACATATATACAATGGAATATTATTCAGCCATAAGAAGAGATGAAATACTGCCATTTGTGACAACATGGATGGAACTTGAGATAATCATGCTAAGCAAAATAAGCCAGACAGAAAAGGTTGAAAATCACATGATATCACTTATATGTGGGATATAAGCCTAAATGCAACAAATGAGCAGGACAAACGAACAGAGACTCATGGACATGGACTATAGACTAGTGGTTACCAGAGGACTATAGAATAGTAGTTACTAGTGGTTAGGAGGAGGAGTGGGGAGGTAGATAGGGTAAAGGGGGTCAAATATAAAAGGTTAGGGGGAGGGTGAATTGGGTAAAGGGGATCAAATATATAGCTGAAGGAAAATGGACTTTGAGTGGTGAACACATAATAGAATATACAGATGTCAAATGATAATGTACACCTGAAAGTTATATGCTTGTATTATCCAATGTTACCTCAATAAACTTAATTTAAAAAAAAAGAAAGAAAAAAAGAAAAAAAAAAACTGGGCACCATTCAAATTAATTTTATTTATAGCACTTCTACTCTTCATAGGAATTACACATGATTCCAGGGATGCTGGGATCACAGATACCTCCTCACTCCCATCCCCACTCCAGACCAAGGATTCAGTTCTAGAGCAAGCCTCCTGTTCCTGAGCCCAGGGTGGGAATCCTCATTTCTCTATGGCCTAGTCTCCCAGCTCCCCAGAGGGACATCAACCCAGCTGAACCTCCCCAGTGGGTATATCTTAGGTTCAGTTTGGGATTCCAACTCTAAGAAATATCTCCATACACCTGGAAAAAAGTATTGGAACCTGGGATTTAGCTATTTTAAGATTTCTCTTAAGAGACAGGACTGAAAAAATATATCTTTAAGTATAATCTCTAAATAAGTATATAGTTTGGCTAAAAATACACATAGCAGTTTAATGGAAAGACCAGAACTTTGAACTCAGCCAGAACTGAGTTTGAATCCCTGTGCTACTACAGATAAATCCTGTGACCTGGGCGAGCTTAAGCTCTGTGAGCATGTTTCCTTGTCTATAAAATGAAAATAATAATACCTTGGAGAAATTTGCAGGAGATTGGAGACATGTGTCAAGTCAAGAGTTGAGGATGGTGCTTGGCGTATAGCAAGCAGCACATACTTCTCTAATGTCATAGCATTTCATCAGTCCTGGGGTTAGCAACTTCACTTACGCCGTCCTTTGAGATCAAGTGGCTACCTGCCTACGAGTGATTTGTAGTTTTGAACTGTTTTCTTTAATTAGCGATCTGTATCCATTATATAAAAATACTATTTCTTCCTTCTAGTGAACCTGCAATATTTCAGAAATACCACCAAGTGAGTCTGCTTGCAAGATTTAATCAAGATCTGGATCAAGTGGCAACCATTTCCTTGGTGTTCTCTACAGGATCTATAGTAGGCCCAAAGTACAAACTCAGGATTCTCCGAATGAAATTAAGGTCACTTGCCAATCCAGAGAGGTGAGACATAGACAGGGTTTGACAAGCCTGTTTTCCAAAGATGTTGTTGGTTCTTGTTCATTCCATTTGGTCTAATGTTATAATTGGACTTGAACGATCACAATGAAGGAAGTGAGGGATTTTCCAAAAATAGACTTGATAAAAACAAACAGCCTAGTTATCCAAAAAAAATTTTACTTGTATGCAGTTAAAGATAAATGGCCCAATAATCCAAAGAAAGTTATATAATTCCTCCCTAAGCACTCTACCCGCACTGCTTGGTAAGCTGTTAATGTGTTGTAGGAAAGAAAGCCTTCATAATTTGGCAACCTGATAGAACAGAGACTAGTATTTAAAAAGATACAGAAAAATTGGACTATTTTATTGCATCGACAAAGTATGAAAATACTGTATCAATGTTAAATTTGATAACTGCACTGAAAATATCTTGTTCTTCGGATATACACATTGAAGTATTAAGGAGTAACTGACTTATTCTCAATTGGTTAAAAAAAAACCCCAACAGTGTGTGTGTGTGCGTGTGTGCGTGCGTGCTTGAAGTATTAAGGAGTAACTGACTTATTCTCAATTTTTTAAAAAAAAAACCCCAACAGTGTGTGTGTTAAAGGGGGTCAAATATAAAAGGTTAGGGTGTGTGTGTGTGTGTATGTGTGTGTGTGTGTGTGTGTGTGTGTATAGAGAGACAAAGAGGGGGGAAAAAGAAAGGCTGTGATGGTATGTATGTTTTGTTACTAATGCCACTCCAACATAGAGTCCTAGTATCCAGTCTGTGGACAGAGAGACAGGAAATGATGTGAGCAATAGTGCTTTGTGAATTCCTGTTTCATGAAGGTTTAGAATACTCTAAAACATTTAATAGTACAATTCTTCTAAGAGGATAGTTATTACATCTTAAAACTGTAGAGATTTTTAATAATTTTTTCCCAATTATCAAAGGAATAGATGTTCATTTAATAAAATCTGGAAAGTTAAGAAAGTGTTAGAAAGCAGAGAAATATCACCCATAATATTATTCAGAGCCAATCACTGTTAATGTTTTGGGTTATTTCTTTCTAATCTTTTCTCTATTACTGTTTTTAAACCTAGTCGAAGTTATTTGGCAAATAAATTTTGCTTTTTTGTTGTTGATGTTGCTTTGCTTATTTACCATAAGTATTTTCCTATAACATTCGAAATAACTGCTAAATAACTTTATATCCTAAGGATATGATACAATTTATTAGTATATTTTTGTTATTTTATTGACAAGAACATTTTGTCTTATTTTTACAGGCCTCAGCTGTGTCGGTATGATCTTATACTAATGGAAAACACTGAAACAGTCTTCCAACCTATTCTTTGCCCAAAGTCGCAGATGTAACTATCGTCAGGACATGTGGGCACCAGCAACATCAAGAAAGCTATGGCAGGCTTTTTTAAAGCTTCGCCTCACATTTTCCTCAAGGCACAAAAGTACGGAATAACCAGAGTTTTTTCCAGTAGTGTCCTATGGATGTCACATTGCAAAATGTCAAATGGCTTTGGATTCTAGAACACTCCTGTGAAGGGAGCCTCTAAGTAGGGCAAGTCAGAAATAGCCAGGCTCCCGGCAGCTCAGCGCCTTGTCTGACTGTGTCCTAGGGCTTTGTTTGTTCTGTTCTGTGCTTCTGCTGCCTATCACTCAGGCAGTTCTGCCCATCACGGCAGGCAGACAAGCATCTTAAAGGGAAGGACTGGCTGGAGACCTCACTTTGGACTCAATTTCACAGTCCCTGTGCCAAATTCCTTCAGGTCTCCACACGTAGAAGGGAATGGAGACTGATCTACCTCACAGGGCTATTGTATGGGTCTGGGAGACAAGTCTGTGAAGGGTTCTTTGAAGTCCTATGGATGCCACATTTGTGAGTGGTTTGATAAATGTGAATATGCTTTTATTTATTCTGATATGCCTTATCTAATGTGCAATAAGAGAGCTTCTCCTTATCAACACCAGCTTCTCTCTCTGACTGTTTGCTCTGGGAAGGCAAGAAAGCCATACCCCTGGTTTCCCACATTCTCTAAAGTGGGAAAAATGTTTATTTTTCATTATTAATATAATCCATGATTATTGAAGGAAATTTAGAAGCTGCATAGATGCAAAATGCATATATGCTATCCATAATCCCACCTGTTAGAGGTAATTATTTTAACCTTTTGGAATGATGCTAAATAACTTGTATGGCTAACATATAAATTCAAATCATAAATGGTTTGCTCTTAGAGCATTAGATGCCTCCAGTTTGAGGAATTATTAGGCTTCCCCAGGACTGTGTGTGAACCATGAATCTGAAATATCAACAGCAGCCAAGTCAACAGGCCCCAGAGGGCCAAAGTCAGAGAGGCCAGAACCAAGGAAGGACCATCTGGGGGGCCAGATGCCCAGAGCGAAGACAGAGCTAAAGGGGTGGGCACTACCCATCCCACAGCTGTGGTCACTGCGGGAAGGTTCCTGGGATTCCTGAGTGTCACAGGCCTGGTAATCTCCTTCTAATCCAAGTGACTCTCCTTCAACTGCTTTCTGTGAGAATAGCCCTTATTTTAAAGAAATGGACTATTTTATAAATTCTAGAACTCTGTAAATATATTTTACAGATGAACATATGTATCAAATACAGAGTCTTCCACCTAGTGAGGGATGCCTGTAATGAATGACTGACCTCTGAAAGAAATGCGGCTCAGCAATGATCCTGCCCTCTTGGACATCTTATCGCCCTTCCCCCTCCTTCCTACGTTTCCTCAGCCTTTCTGGATGGAAAGATTAATGTGTTATGGGGCCTGATTTCTTTTTAAGAGTTTTATTGGCTCTGCATTTTGATTAGCACAGTCACTTCTTTGTCCTCTTTCCC